AGGTACCATGGTCTCTGAGCTCTAGATGCACCTGAGTCTCTCTCAAAAATGACCCAGCAATTCAGCATCAAAACCTGAAAAGTGCTGTGAGTTAGAAGAGGATGTTTTACTCATTTCAATTATAGTAGGAGACGGAGGAGATGGAAGGAAACAGTGAACCCTTTATAGAGACCAGGAAGGCTCAGGGGCCCAGGGATTTAATTCCAGCGACTCCGGAGGCCGAGGCAGGAGGATGGCAAGCTCAAGGCGACTGGGGAACTGAGGAAACTCATGACTCAACATGAAAAGGGAAGAAGAAAACAAAACAAAACTGGGGCCGTAGCTCATGGGAGAGGCCTGCAGAGCACCCCCAGGGCCTGGGTCCCTTCCTCAGTGCCGCAGAGAAATAAGAAGAAACAATCCAAGATATCAGATAAATGGAGGTACTGAAAGGTGGCCAAGGGGGCGGGGGCTGGGCTCCGCGGGAGAGCGCTGGTCTCGCACCTGCGAGGCGCTGGGTTCCATCCTCAGCACCACATATAAATAAATAAAATAGAGTTATTAACTCAAAAAAGGTCAGGAAGGCAGAGTCAGCAGAGCTGCCACCAGGGAGGCTCAGGGGCAAGCTCCCCGAGGGCGGAGAAGGCGAAGGTCAGGAAACAGTGGCCACCCGGGACACCAGGACCTGGATGGCAGGTCAAGGGCACCCCCTCTGCTGACCTGGAGTTCCTGACAGGGACACAGCAGCAGGAGCACAGAACACGCTTGTGACTTACTTGTGATCAACAGGAGACCCTCATCACCCTGGGACTGTGGCATGGAATCCATTGCACCCCACAGGCCCCAACAAAGGCAGTGAGATGCAGCAATGTCTTGAGGTTTGTGCGTGGCCACGACAGGCCTGCAGTGTGACATGGGGTGGTCAGCAGGAGGTGGAGCTGCACCCAGGTCTCATCTGCAGCTGCCCACCCCTGGCCCCTTGCTGGGGTGAGGAGCTGGTCACCTTGCTGTGGGGAGGAGGCAGCAA